CCCAGTCAAATAATAATACCTTATTGTCAATAAAACAAAAAACAGCTGAGGTTTTCAATCATCTATAAAAAAAAATTTTACAAGAAAACAACAAATGACATGAAAAAAAAAACCAAATTTTACAATAACAGTCGGCGACTGCTGAAATTATATAATGTATTATGACAAATTATTATTTTCTTTAATGTCTGTTTAATATAAAATATCTTTTAGAAAAGATTTAACAATAGCAACAGAAAAAAACTTCAGGTATCTTTTTTTTTAAAATAGGAATGTTATTTTGATGCTTTTTTTGGTAAGGTTATTTTATTGACTTTTCTTCCTGTGATGAAAGCAACAAAAGAGCTACAAATAAACAAATTTGATGTAAAAAAAGTTGAAGACAGTAAATTTAATTATAGCTAAGAGAATGGAAGAATAACAATTAACATACACCTATTTTTGATAGAAATAAAATTAGACTTCAAAACAGAACAAAAAAAAAAAAAAAACACCAGTCAGTTGCAAAAAAGAAACCTCACTTATGCTTATGCTTACGTAATTATTCATTTATGTATCTAAGTGCTTATTTATTAACCAGAACCTGGTGCTGCTGCTGCTACTATATTTGCAATAAGTTTTATAATGCTATTATTACTGATAAATATAATAAATGACATCAACAATAGATTATCAGAAACAAACCAAAAAAAACTGAACATATTTAAGGCTCAACTGATAAGCAAAAAAAAATCTTTGTTTTTTCAACTTTATATTGGTTGGTCAACGACTAATTAAGCAAAACAAAAATTAATTAATGAATGCATACAAAGTAAATTAAATGCATGAAAACACAACAGAACATAACATTGAAAAAAGAACGTTGATACATCGGTACACACAAATGAAACACCGACATATTGGTACCGATACACATTCATTTAAACAATCAGACACACAGACACACAGACGCACAGACACATACAGACACACACACACACACAGACAAACACACACACTGAGGTACTACTGAGATTGGAGAAGTTACTATTCTCAAACACCGACCTCAACAATTCACTAAATTATTATTCTTCTTTTTATTTCTCTCTTTATTATTATCACTATTCTTATTACTATTATTACTATTATTTTTTATCAACATTACTGTTCATATTATTACTGTTTATTACTGCTATACACAGTATTAATAGAATAATGTTTATAATTTAAAGTTAACTTTTTCAAGAGGTTCTTTTTTGCTTGTCGCCCTTCCCTCACTTCGCTGCAGTGATTTATCTGAGTTATCTCAGCTATTAATCAATTATTACAAAAATAAATTTTGCTCTTATTTTTGTTCGTAGAAAAAAAATATACTTTTTAAAAATGTTAAACATGAAACAAAAAAAAAAGAAATTTTTGAACATACCTCTCAGTATGATATAAACAAGAAAAAAACCGCTGTTATTCATCTTTGTTTCTGTCAACACTTCTTTGATCTAATGCTGTTATAATCTTAGTGCTCAGCCGTTGCTGTGTAACACTTATCAAAAATTTATGCACAAGAAAGAAACCAAAAGAAAAAAAAAATTTGATGAATAATATATATATTTGTGGTGTAAATCAGTAATAACAACAACAAAAGAATGTTAACAGTTGATGTGATATCTAAGCAACTCAATCTTTGTTCTTAAAATTGTAAACAAACAAAGACTTCACTTTGTCCTTCCAATTTAATTTTTTTCTTTTGTTTATTTACTTATTATTTTTTTATTTTTTGTTTTGTTTTTTTTTGTTTTTTTTTCAAATACTAATAAAAAGCACTTGTAGAATAAACACATAATTAACAGTAATCATCAATGGAATATAGGAAAGTGTAGAAGACGATAAAGAAAATGCCTTGCCGCTAATATCGTGAGCTTCGGTTCTGTTTTTGCATCCTGAAAAAATTATCTATACATAGCTAAGTATCTAAAGTTTCGTTTTCTGCTAAAATTTCATCGACTGTTATGTTTTGTCAGTAACTTCAGTACAACTATAAGAAGTTCAAGAAAAATATAACAAATTATTTCTGTTATCCATTTTTATCTCTCTATAAACCTTATCACAACAGTTTTGCTGTCTTTTTTCTCTGTTTTTTCGAATTTTTAAAGTTAAGAGAATTTATGTTTTTTCAATCTAAGAGGTAAAAAAAATTTTTTTTTTATTTTTCTTTTTTGATCGTATGAACGAAACTGTTCTTAATATGTTACAGAATTATTTACTTAACCGTATCGTAACACATTAGAGAGACAATAGTGCAAATGAACGATTATACAGCAGTAAAAATATTTATAAAACCCTAAGAATCAACTGCCTCTAAACATTACCATCTTGTAGACAATCTTTTAATTATCAAAATAATAATTTGCAAAGAACCAAAAAAGACGATAATAAGAACCTTTACCATTACTAATTGTCTCCTCAGCTTCATCAAGGATACGACAAGACGACCCGTGTACATCCTTGGCAATTTTGCGCTTACTGCTGGAATCTGTAGAATCTGATAGTACTACTGCTTCTCTGCTAATTGTATTGTATAATGGCCAATTATCATCTGGTTTACTGCAAAAATGTTGATTATTTCAATATCTGTAAAAAAAAAATAAAGCTTGATGTTTTAAAAAAATCTCTTCATTGTCTTAATAAAAACTCATCAACAACACAAAAAAACTGTTTTTACATACATCTCAGCTCTATTTCTGATCATTCAAACAGGTTATAGCTGAATTTATAATTTCGTTAGTGACTTTTTCTAGTTCTACTCTCAAAATTGGCAAAAAAGCGAAAAAAAATCACAAACAACCGTTCTTTTATTCTAAACATACAATTAGTTTCTTAGTTCACTTGAAATTACTGAAAGTGTCACACTGGTTTGAGAAAGATATGTCCAAACTTACTTTCTTTTAGCAAAATTAGTCCAGTAATCCATGATCATATCTGAAAATCTCATTTCTTCCTTTTGGTAGGCTACCGCATAATCGCTGGTTCTTCGGAATGGTTGACCAAAAACATATTCTATTTCATAGCCATGCATTGCTCCCATCCATTTTGGCCATGAATTTGATGAAGGTCTACAACAGTTTCGAAAGTTTGTAGGACTTTTTGCTAAGAAAGCAAATCATTAGTGGATAGACAGTCTTTTTTTGCCACTATAAATTGCTGCTTTCAACGTTGACATCAAAATTCAGTCAAAGTTTAATACCTTTTGGTAAAGTAATACATATACGTTGAACCTTCAATGTTCTCGGCTAAGGTATCAGCAAATTCGAGCACAGCACAAGTGAAAAAGAAGTCACCTAAAAAACGTGCTACACCATCTCGACGCCGTTCTCGATCATCTTTACTTTTAACTATCTGAAAAAATTTTTATCTGATCTGTAGAGTCAGAAAATTGTTTGACTTAACTGTTTGTTCATTCAGCAACAAAAAAATCGTATTTATTTTGCTAAATAATTATTTTGATATTGATATATAGATAACTTTAAGATGTTCAAATTTAATAATTTTAGTCAAAAAGTTTATAAAAATTCAAGAACAATTCTAACTGTGCAACAACAGGTGGTACCTCTTTGTAAAAATTAAAAAAGGCTTGTTCAACGAGAAGCGAGTTGCCAAAATAAGGTGAGAATAATTTTAAGGCATTTTCGTATTGCTCCCTAAAAAATAATCATACAAATAGACCAAACATATTATTGCTAATTCAAAAAAATCAACTAACTATTCAGCTGTCTTAAAAAATTTGACCTTTCTAATGTTTGTTCTTATACTTTTAGATTTACCCCATGGGACAGGGTAACTCTTTCTACTAGTTTTTTTTTCTAACATATTTTTTGAACTGCCCTTTCAACCAGAAAGAATTACAGTAAACTTTTTTTTCTGCTCTTAGTTTAGACTTAAGTTAGATACTAACTTGGTAGTAAAAGCAGCATTGGCTGGATCATCAGCAGATATGGTATGGTTGAACTTGAAACCTGTATCTTTACTGGCCACATAATATGGTAACCAATATGTTCCTTCATCTTTCATTGTACCAACAAATACATCAACATCTTTTTTGAAATCACGTTTTTGAAATTTTGCAAATAAATTACCCTGCAAAAAATGAATAGATAAAAAGTAAAAATATGTTATATACACAAAAAAAAAACAAAAATTTTCTACTACTTTTGTTAATTATTATATGTGAAAATTAAAAAAATTTTTAGTTTAATCAGAAAACAGCAGTTGTTGATTTCAGTTAACAGCACAAACTAATTACGGTTATAAAATTTGTAACTTTTATACAGCAAAACAACTTCTTTTTATCCTGGTCAATTCAAGAAAAATTATTTGGTAATCCTTATGTTTCTCCTTTCATTTCTTTATTATTTCTTAGTATTATAAATCTTTAATCACCACAACTTGTAGAAAAATCAAGCAAATCAAAAAATAAAACCGACAACAACAATAAACATTTTAAAAAGTAGTGAGGGAAAAAAAGTAGTGCAAATACTTTGAAGAAATGTCTATCCTCATCAACGGGAACAAATGGAAACGTCATTGGAAGCATATAATATGCGCTAATATTTTCGGCTGCTTGCTAAAATAGATGAACAAAAAGTAAATAAATAAATGAATCAAATGAATACAAGCAAAATAATTATTAAAGAAACAATTAAATTAAAAACAGTTTCCATTGTCTAACAAATAATCATTGTTTTAAAACAACAGTATAAAATATCATATCATATCACAGCAGATTAATTCTCTGTAATATTACCAGTAAAATAAGTGCTACAATTATCGTTTGACTAAGAAACTTTTTTTGAATGAAATTTGAGTAATATCATAAATTGTTGTGCTTAAAACTTAAATTTTTTTTATCATCTTATAAAGTTCAAATATGCAATCGTCAATTGCAAAAATCTTATTGACAGTATCAACCAGTTTTGCACAATGTTTATCAACTTAGTAGAAGACTTTTTTAAATTGAATACGCATACTGACTTACCTGAATCATATGACTTTCTTGCCTTTGTAGGCAAACTATGACCGCTTTAATGTCGGGATATCGTTCTTTGCCAACACATCTTAGTTTAGCAGCTAAACGCATCGAAATTTCAAACATCATATCAACACCTTTAGATGCCCATGGATTAATCATTGTTCCACTCTGCAAAATACACCTTAAACTTTTCATCCTGTCTTGTAGGCGTAAAAGAAGAAAAAAAATCTTTCAAAAAAAAAAACACTAAATTCTTCTCAACAAATTTTTTAACCATTTAGCCGATTATTACCGATTATTTTCCGTAAAAATTTCTGCTTCAATTTTGTTGGGTCAACAATTAAATCCTGTTTTTTTTACTTCTTTTCTCCCAATTCTTCGTCATCTAATAGATGAAAATAATTTATTTGAATAGAATAGATTTTTTTTCGCTTTAGCAGTTTTACAATTTTTGAAAGCATAATAAACGTTTACCATAATAATAATATTTTGAAAATATCGATAACTTCCAGGTGCAAAAAGATGAGAGGTTACCGAAGCAGCCCCAGCGCTTTCACCAAATAATGTGATCTAAAAATTTATTGTCTAATCGAATCAGATTCTTGTAAATTTCATATCCTTTAATTACTGTTTTTTTTAGTGCCATTCTGAGACAAAAAGACAGTATAAGTGTCTGTGTTTATTGTTGTTTTCACAGCTTTATTTAATGTTATCGAAAGAAGAAAAACAAAGATGAATAATATTTGATAAACAAACAAAATTGGAAGCAAAAGATAAATGATAATATGTTAAAAATATCTTTTTTTCTTTCTTCTACTAATGCTTAGATTGTTTTTGCCATCGTTTCAAGACTTTAAACAATATATGTGTGTAGTCATAAGGGGTAATTTTCAGCAAATTATTTGTACTTATTGACAGGTAATAAGCATCAATTTTTTTGTTTTTTTTTCCGCATATATTTTTTTATTCTATAATTTCGCTGAAAAAAGTAATAAAAAATTTTTATGGGGAGGTTTTGAAACTGTCATTGAGCCTTCTAAATTGAGTAAACAGGAATGATTGCTTTTAAACTAAATCAACTGTTAGTAATGTACAGTAGCCAAGTTGAAAAATCACTATCATTTTCTGCTTTAGTTTTATACGTCCACTTTTTTTAGTTTGTGTCATCCCAACAGTATACTTTTCGGTGATTATTTGTCTGCTATCAAATTACCTTCCTATTATCGCCACCAAAACTGCCAATATGTTCATAAATCCAACGTAACGCTAATTGTTGGTCCGCTAAACCCATATTTCCAGGAACATCAGTATCGGGACCAAAGTATAAAAAACCAAAAGGCCCTAACCTATAAATTCAAAGCAAAAAAATATTCTTTTTCTTTAAAAAGAAACTAATAATAAATCAAACACATTACTCATTGCTAAAACAACAATTTACAAAGCAAAAAAGAACAAATAAGACAAATAAAATCTACATACTGCTAATACCTGTAGTTTATGTTTACAACAATAACTTTTTTTCGTGCCGCCAATGTACTTCCATCATAGAGATCTAACGATGGACTTCCAGAAAAGAATCCGCCACCATAAATCCAAACCATGACACGGCCATCATGATTTTTTGGCACCCATAAGTTAAGTCGAAGACAGTCTTCTGAGGTCTGCAGTAAGGAAAAAAAACAAAGAAAAATTACGTTTGCCATTATTATTGTCCAATTCTTTTCTTTTTTTTCCCCCCCCCTCCCTTCCCCCAGTTTTTGTTTTTGTTTTTTTTTCTCTTTGCCCCCTTATGTTGAGAAGTGCGCAGCCATAGATCAACAACAAAAATAACGATGAAATGCAAAAAAAATGGTTAACATGATGGCAGTAAAGTTTTACTGTTTTATTTGGCGGATTCCACATTTCAGCACCGGGGAAATTTGGAAAAACACTATCTGGCGTCGAATAACATGACGGGGCTAATGTTGTTGCATTCCATAGTTTCCATGGTTTAACCATTTCGGGAAGTAAAAAACGTTTCCGACCCAATGGAGGTTCCGCAAATGGAATACCCAGGTAGACATTAACAGTTGTGTCGTCAACTCTCTAAAATCATCTTGTCATCCATACAAATAGATTTAGCATCAGTTTTTGATTATAATTCAAAATCCAATTCTAGAGAACAATAACCTGAAACGTGCTTCAAATAAGAAGAAAAAAAAACAAAGCAACAACTACACCGACCTTTTGAAAACCTCTAATGTCACCTAATCGAGTGTGTACAATATCACTGGGAAAATAGATGCCTCGGCAATGGATATGTTGCAGAAACCAACTTGTAATTACAACTATATAGACAAGCAGCATTTTTGATCAGCATCCTAATGTTGCATTCTTTTATGTACCTAAAATATCAGTGATAACAACAATGCAGCGATATACACCGTAGGCAGTCAAATACACTTAACAAGTATTTTACATACACAAAAAAGAAATGCAGCAAAATTTAAACTAGAAAAAAGTAGAAGCATAAAGACGGGAAAAAAAAAAGAAGAAAAACACATGTGATTCTTTTCTTTCGTTCATTCTAAACTTAGTCGATTCCTTTGTTGTCGTTGCTAACACTGTTTAGAATTAAGTAGCAGATGTAGAGAAAAAAAAATTCATGTATATTAAGACTAAATTTTTTTTTTTGGTTATTTGATACAAATTTCAAGGTAAACAACTTATTCCCGAAAAGCACACGTCGTTTCCTCAATTGTATGAAAACGACAACAACATTTATTTCATTCTAATTCTTTCCTCCTTCTACTTGTTTGCCGTTGTCTTCTGTGATACATATGCGCTTTTTCTGGCAGAATATTTTGGCCAAATTCTACTTCACTGGCTTCTTTTTTTCACTAAATTTATCAACCAAAATTTTATAAATGAAACAACAAAAATTTTTTCAATATTCAACTGATGACAACAGCAACAGCGAGGTGGAAGCGAAAAGGAACGTGGAATAGAGGAAGGAAATACAGCTTTATTTTTAGTGTACATCTCAACCACTCTTCACTGGTTCAACCTTTTACTTCACTCTTCCTTCTCTTTCCTCTAATTGTTCCGCATACGTAAATTCTTCTTTTACTTCTAAAAACTTATATTTTAAGATGGCTTACTGTATTTGAGTTTGAAATGCTATCAAAAATTTTGTTCGAATCAACTTCAACTATTATGCAGAAACAAAAAAAAAAAAAAACAATACAAAATTTTGCTTGACATATTTGACAAAGCACAGTTGCTTTTAATTCTTATTCAACGGTTACCATTCTGAAACTGTTAATGACTTCAGCTTTTTCATGCCTTTAGAAGCAAAGATACTCGACAAGTCATACTATTCTGACATACTATCTGGTATCTGATACGCTTTTTTTAAACTTATCAGGTACAAGAAGTAAATAATTTTCTTTTTCTTTTTTCTTTCGCAAACGACCTATTTGTCTAATTGAAAGGCTACTGTATGGAATAATTCCTTTTATGAACATTTGAAAGATATTATACTAGAAAAGAAAAAAAAGAAGATTCAAGTTCAAAAAGGCTCTCAACATGCTGCTGATTAATTGAATTGGTTGCATAGAGGAATTAAATGCAGACAATAATCTTTAATTAAAATTTTTTTGAAAATATTATCTGATACAATAAAAAGCAGAAGAGAAACAAAAAAATATATACCCAGAAATTAAATAAATTATAAAAAATGTGAAACAAAAAAGAAGAAACTTAAAAGAAGGAAAAAGCAGTCAGTAAAGTCGGGTAAAATAAAAAGCTAAAACTCTGAAGAATAAGAAGAAAAAACAATGTAAAGAATGAAGATTAAAAGTATGGATAAATTGCAGAATTCATTTGGCTGCGACTAAATGCAATTTATAGCTGTCGATCTTTGCTGTATCAATTAATTAGCCGCAAAATTAAAGCAACAAAATACATTTCTATTAGATTCGCAACAGATTCCCAATTTTTTTTACTCTCACTGTTGCTGGTGCTGCTGTTACTGCTGTTGTCATTATTTGTAAAGAATACAAAAATGAGTCCCAAGTAGAATATTAAAAAGATAAAACAAGTTAGAAGTAGAAGAAGAAGAAGAAGAAGAAGAAGAAGAAGAAGGAAAAAACGATGAGAACAGAGAAACTTTGTCACCGGTAAAAACATAAATCGGTTTCAATTACACATAGATTTTTTGCAGCACTACCTAATCAAAATCCGACTGAAAGGTTAAACTTTCGTGTCACCAAGAAGAAAAAATAAATAAATAATCACTGTTTATTCTTTGCCCTTTTCATTTTCCTCCCCTTCCGCACACATCCATCGTTCTCCATCCTCAGCCACCACAGAACCAATTCTTTGTTTTCATTACTCACCTCCTTACTTGTCCACCAACTGTTTAATTTGTCTTCCTTTTCTTCTCACTATTTGCTTCTCACTTTTTCTTTCTTTTTTTTTTTTTCATTTTTGCTATGATAAATACAGCATTGATAAGAAATAAAGAAAAAAAGTTATTTAACAAAACGTTTTTAATGTTGTACATCAATAGAACAACAACTATGATAAACTTGAGAAAAAAAAAGAAAAGAAATTTAAGTAACTAGACAGACAGAAGTAACATAGTTTGATCCTGGAACAATCTTTAAACAACAAACAATAGCGACAGCAACAAAAACAACAACAACAATAACAGACAACGATAGTTGGTTAGTTTCCTGGACACAAATTGCAAAGATCTGAACAACAGATCATCAATTGTCCGTAACCATAGCTTCTGTTGTCTTTTTTCTTTTTTCAAAAAATTTTATCTAAAATATAATCACCCTAAACTAATCATTACTGTATCTTTATTGCTGATAAAATATTCAAGAATATTTACAAAAAAAATTCGAAATGCAAATAAATGAATAAATGGTACAGTGGACAACAACAACAGCAAAAAAAAAAAAAATATGTCGATGAAATTGTGGAAGTCATAGTACATTTGTAAAATAATTATCATCTATAGCAAAAGTGAAAAAAAAAAAAAAGAAGAACGATGACAAGTGAAGGAGGGAGAGGGTGAGGAGGAGGAGGTGGAGGTGGTGGTGAGGGAGAGAGATTGATGATAACAACAAAACATATTGTCATCTGTGTAATTTTAAGCAACTGGTTTCCTACTTTTATTTTATCACTGTTCCACTGATGAAAGCTTCCTTATTACTATACCGTAGAGATGCTTCCATATCGCTCCATTCTTTTTCTTTTTTTTTTTTTTTT